TTGACAATTCATCAAGGATTAACAGATCAAAATTCTAAGCATTATATCCGGTCTCTAACCATGAAAGTGTTGAGTGCACAAACATAGCGAAAGTTTGAATGGATTAAACAGGACAGAATTTTGGTGGTCGTACCATCAATTAGTCTGATCGGTGGAGGATTTTGTGGTGGGAGACTATGAGTCGTCAAACACCAAAGAGAGTTTTGTGAGGAAAGATTGATCCAACGAAGTGATCGAATCTCGTCTCAGCAAAAGAGTGTTCGGAAATCATTATAGGAGTTTAGTGTTTATCACTTTGTTCATAATGATCGGGTTACCCCTAAGAACATTACATTTAACATTCTTCCGGGAACTTCCCGTTACATGAATTATCCACCCCCAGCTTTCTTTGCAAAACTAGGTGTAACGAGGAGTATGTTATCCTCAGTCGCATGTTCGGGTTATCCTTAAGAATATAAGATTCTCTAGGAACTTCCCGTTACATAAATCATCCACCCCCAGCTTCCTTTGCGAAACCGGGTTTAACATTGTACTTAGTTGGATGACCGAGAAGCAGTTTATACTCGTATACTCTTTAGAGTATCAGAAGGAGCAGTTTATACTCTTATACTTGTCGGAGTATTCATTCGACTTAACTGAGCGATATAACGCCGGCTTCAATCAAGGTTTGGATGCTATTCTTGAGAGCAAAGCAATCCTTGGTGGGATGAAGGACTCTCCTGTGGTACGCACAGTACTTTGGATCCGTAGTATTTTTAGCTTCCTCCTGATTTACGATAGGTGGTAGCTTAATCTTGTTGTTTTCAACGAGGGATTCGAAGATGGCTGGAACGTCTTCGTCCTTGAAGGAATACTCTTTTTGGAGTCTCGGGTCCGAAGTCTTTTGCTGCCTTCGGGATTGCTGTTGTGACGTTTGATTAGCATCACCAACAGCTGCAGGTGCTTTGCCCTTACCACGGGAGGCGAAGTTCGAGTTCGGAGGATTATCCGTCGGTTGGCTCCTCTCGGCCTTCTTCCTTCGGAGGAAGCGTTCGGCCCGCTCTCCACGCATCTTCAACTCTTTCCAAGTGTTGGACGGTGCGACTCTCATAACTTCCAATATCTCAATAGATAGGTTGTTATGACATGTCTGGAGGATGACGTCCTCCGTGATTGGATCTCGGCAGTTCATTACTTTATTCCGGAAGCGCTTGACGAAGTCGTCGACTGTCTCATCATCTTCTTGTTTCTCATCGAAAAGTGTCCTGATGGATACCTCGTCGTCGTCGTTAAAGAAATTGCCGAGGAATGAACTCTCCATATCGTCACAGTTGTTAATACTTCCGGGCTTGAGACGGTGGTACCAATCGAAGGCCGGCCCGCGAAGGGTACCAACGAATGACCGAACCATCAAAGCTTTATTGCCGGACATCATACCCAAGTAGGACTTGAAGTAGATCAAATGCTGAGTGGGCGAACCCTTCCCATCAAATGGTGTGAAGTTGATCAGGTTGAACTTCGCCGGATACGGGATCGAATCCCACTCTCTCGGATATGGACACGGAATACCGGTCCTTTTCGCCTCTCGAGCAGACATCAGAGCGTTGATTTTGCTCTCGAGATCTTTCATTTTCTTATCCTCGCTCGTATCGGGGCTTGGACGATTCTTAAGAGGAATAACGGGGCCACCCCCAATGTTGTCATTATTGGTAGGGCCACCCCCAGCGTTTTGGTCAAGGGGAGGGTTCTCAGTATCGAGACGTTCATCCACATCTGAATCGCTACCTACTTGGTGAGCAAGGTTACGATGGCTGGATTCACCGAACTGATTGGACAGAGCCCGAATTTGTTGGTCATGCTCTTCCCTCATTCGTAGCATAGCCATTTCCATTTCGATCTTGAATGCCTCTTTCTGTTTGGTTAGAGCATCCTCGAGAATTTTGGCGATTTGCTCGATGTTGACCATGAATGCCTCGTGCGATTGTCCTGGGCTAGACACCGTTTGATCAGAAGCGACTGCAGAGTTGGCATCTGATGCTTCATCATTAGAGGATAATCCCCTCTGCATTCTTAGATAATCCCTTTGTCTAATAGCTCCTGATCACAACCGGGTTAGACGATGCGATATAAGCGGGTCAGAGCTAGAAGGTCGAATTGACTTTCCCTTATCAGCCATATTTATTGTGACTTCTGAGAATTCGTCACCTTGAACAGCCGATCGCTTTTTATGGAGACGCTTTGGTCTGGACTTGGCCATTCCGTTAGAGATCCTCTCGAATACCGAGACCCTCTGCGAAGCGGTCTTGGGACAGCTACATGCTGATAATACTGCCCTGATAAGTTCGGCGCACGGGTAGTGAGATTTTGTTTCTCGGGTATATCTCTTCCGAGACTTGTTCATACCCCCATCTTGATAGTATAACTCATCGGTCAGATGACCGGAGCAACCTATCGTGTGTTGGCATGACTCCCCTGGTATAACACTGTCGTCTGACGAACACGTTTCCTTCTGAGAGCTTGCTGCCTTATTGGCGTTCTTAAGAGTCATGTGCTTGGAGCTACGCTTTTGGGAGCGTGAGATTTTGACGAGCTCTTGGTCTTCAATTCGCCGTCCGAGGCGATCAATTGCAGGGGTTTTCCTATTATACAAAGGCCCTAACTTGTTGTGAGGGCGTGTGCAACCCCCAGCTCGAGTGGTTGCTCCGGGTTCAGTCACCAGACCCAAGCGTTCTTTGATCAGAACTTTACCTCGATCCTCGTGCAAAGGACCCAGGCGATCCGTCATCCTTATCTTGAAACGAGACGAGTCTATGTAGTTGTGAGGCTTTACCGGAAGTGTGGAATCTATTGGGACAGGAATAGGGGCCGCCGGAAACTTAGACGAGACTGTAGGAAGTGAATCAGCAGTGAAACGGACCGAACCAGTCCGAGTTTTGCTCAAACCACCATTTGGATCAGCAGTGAAACGGACCGAACCAGTCCGAGTTTTGCTCAAACCACCATTTGGTGGTTTGACTTTGGCCAAGCCACCATTTGGTGGTTTGACATTGGTCGAGCCACCATTTGGTGGTTTGACAATGGCCGAGCCACCATTTGATGGTTTGACTTTGGCCGAGCCACCATTTGGTGATTTAAATTTGGTGGTTTGACAATGGCCGAGCCACCATTTGATGGTTTGACTTTGGCCGAAGCCACATTTGGTGGTTTGAATTTGGCCGAGCCACCATTTGGTTTTCTGGTTTTTTCGATGCCTTCAGGTACCGTTTGGGTTGTTTTTTATGCCGGTTTGGACTTTGGCCTCCAGACTCGGCGTGATCTTGGTGGCTTCTTGACCACTTCTTCTTGTTCCAATTTCTACGCTTCTTGCATCAAAGCTCGCGCATGCGCGAGTAACGCGCGGCATTTCTGGATCCTTTCTTCAAGAGTTGAACGCGTCCTTTTGACGCGGATCCATTCATTCGTGGTTGAGTTGGAGGAGTTGGCTACCCGCTGTTGCGGCGTTTGGCGTCTCCTTGACCTCAGATTCGCTTCATACCGGATTCCATCAACCAGTTATAAGGCCTTGGCCATCTGGCGTGCAAGGCGTTGTCGCGGTCTCTGTCGTGCCCTCTTTGATAGAACGGGCCCGTTATCAGTAGTTAACTCCTCGCTCAAGGAGTTCAGATCTGCGGCGTCGGCTTCATCGGATGCCGGCG